TTGTCCTGGCAGGACAGCCCAGAAAGCCGGCATTTTTAATCGGCGCAGCTTTTTTCCTGTTATGGCTGAAACCCGAAAAGCATGCGTTCAGCTTTTCATCAACACCATTTAAGTGTTTCATGGCAGGACCTCTTAAGAGCTGCAGGGTTTTGCAGCTGAAGCTGAGTCAGGAAGCCTCTCTTAGATGAGGTGCTAGCTTGTTAGCAAGCAGAGCAGACCCGAGAACACAGCGAGTCTAGTTGCCATCAAACAAATCGTAGCACTTTACTCCAAATGCTCCATTCAAAAGCTCTGTCTCCCGCAGGAGCAATAGCAGCACAGCCCCAGGAAGTCGTGCTTTAAAATGACACAGCGTTTTTCTGCTACTGTTGCCGAATCAGGAAATCTCTCTACAGCATGCCACCAACAAACAGCAAAAATCTGTGTTAAACTCTCTCTCCCTTATTTTTAAGCCTTCTCAGGTTTTTTAAGTGGGTTTAGTCCATTACGTCGGGCGCCAACTGTAGTAATAAGGGCAGTGGGGCTGCGTTCTTTTAAGCACTGCTTGGCCCTTTAGCTCTAGCACTTACCGGCTAATTCTCACATCCCGATCAACCCATCTCTAATAATCTGTGAGAACCGGTCTTACCGGGAAGATTCTAGCCTAGTCCATCCTGGGTCGGAGCTTCATGCCGGGAGTGGGGCATGGCGTCTGTCTCAGGTGTCTGCTCCCTAGAGGAGAGCTGTCAAGTCTCAGAGCTCACTTCCTCTTCCTCCTAGCGTTCTGTTCTGTTTACTCCTCCCACCTATCCTCTAACCAATAAAATGGGCCAAGGCAGTTCCTTTATTAGCCAATGACCTTCCTCCATCAAAAGCCTGTTTTTTTCTCAACTGTCCACAAGAAAGAATAAGTTTTCAATCTGTTTAAAGAATACATGATGGCTGGAGTAGTGGTGCATACTTTTAATTCCAGCACTCTGCAGGCAGCTGGACCTCTGAGTTTGAGGCCAGCTTGGAGTATGTACATAGTGATACCATGCTCAAAAAGAGAATACATGAAGCGGGGTGGTGGTGCACACCTTTAATCCCAGCTCTTGGGATGCAGAGGCAGGCAGATCTTTGTGAGTTCAAGGCCAGCCTGGTCTACAAAGCGAGTTCCAGGACAGCCATGACTGTTACATAGAGAAACCCTGTCTTGAAAAAAAAATATATATGTGTGTGTGTGTGTGTACACATGAATACATACACACACACACACACACACACACATATATATATATATATATGAATACATGATAAGCTTTGGAAATCGGAAGTGGCTTGTTATTGGCATTCAGCAGTTCTTATGACTGCCTACACCCTGTACCTATTTAACCAGAATGGAGCATGTCTGCACTATACACATGTACTGCAAGAAGAAATCAGTATCTCAAAAGAAGAGAAATAAGGAATATAAGCTTATGTGTGGGATGCACTTCTCTGTTGACTCTTTTGTCAGTAACATGTCCCTGCTAGACATGGAACATGGCTTTCTGGCTTTCAAAACTTGCTAGCTATTAGAATCTCCATCACTATGAAGTTGCCATAAATGCTGCTGACTTGGATGTGGGCTCCATCTGAGCTGTGCTGCACCATGTCTACAGTGTGCTGAATGTGGTGTTGGTCCTGAACAATCCTCTATGCCTGCTGGGACTAACTGCCAAGTGAGCTTTCATTACTGGCTAGATTCTTTTTTCTGCTCTTTGCCCTTCTCTGTTGAAGTCAGCTGAAACACCTACATCACCCCCAGAAGAATCTGTGAATGCCTGAGTCCTTCTTGACTTGTGGCATTATGTCTCCCCAAATTTTCAACCTGAAGTTCCTCACTTCCTGCCTGTAAGTCATTAGAATGAAACCTACAGGAATCCTTTCCAGTTTTATCCCCACCTGACCATGAGAGAAGTGTATATTTTTTTAACATGGCAGGGTCTGTGGCCCACAATGCCCCTAACAATTCCTGATCAGCAGATACATGCCAACAGTATTGTTGAGTTGTAGCAATATAATCCAGAATGTGGCGTCCCAGAATCACCATGTGACTGCTTAGTGTAAATTAATGGAAATTATTAAAGAAAGCAAAAATATCAGTTCCTCAGTCAACAAGAAAAACAAAAAGTGTTTTTGCTTTTTAAAATTTAATTTAGGACTACACAGATGAAATAACATAAAAAGGATTAGTGAACACAGGGTTGTGATGGTCCTAGAGTAGAGGTGGTTGACAGTAAGTAGTTCAATCTGACTCTTCAGCCTCTGAAATTATATTGCTATGCTTAGTCCATAGTAGGGCAACTTTATATATTATATAAAATCAGCAATTCTTCCTGGAGGAATTTCTGTAAAAGTGTTAATATCAGTAAGTAGATAGTTTGGTAGGAATTTTTGGTTAGCTGGTTTTATTTGTCCAAGGGTATTCTGGAACTCATGTTGCCAAGGATGTCCTTGAACTCCTGATCACCTTGCCCCCATTACCCTCCCAAGTATTGGGATTGCAGGCATGAGCCACTATATCTTTCTACAAGGTTTAGTGCATTTTGAATAGCCACAAGATGGCACTCTTGTTCTCTATGACTCTGCATGAATTTCTTCAAAGATGTTCAGGAAGGTTGGTAAGGCTGCCATCTTATCTGTTAGTGTGGATGTCACCTTGAAAGGGATTCATTTTATTCAAGCCTAAAATTGTAGCAATTCTTACAGAGAACCCTGAGTACTGCTTAGTTAAAAAGTTCTAAATTTAGTTCAATAATGTGTGGATATTTTAGGAAAAAAAAGTTCAGTATTGATTCATAAAACACCAGCTTTTTTGTGTATGTGTGTGTTTATGTGTGAGAGAAAGAGTGCTGGTACCTGAGTGCCATAACGTGCATGTAGAGGTCAGAGGACAACTTTCCAGAATGAGTTCCAAGGATTGAACCCAAACCATAAGGTTTGCGTGGCAAGCCTCCTCCCAACCCCAGCGACCTTATTGTGCCGAAACAACATCAGCTTCTTTTATAATAAAGACAAAAAGCACAATAATCCTGTTTTTTTTTATTTAAATTTTTTTACTTTATGTATATAGGTATTTTGTCTGCATGTATGTCTGTGTACCGTGCATGTACCTGGTGTTCTTGGAGACCAGAAGAGGGTCTCAGATCACTGGGAATAAAGTTACAGACAATTGTAAGCTGCCTGTGTATCCTAGAAATTGAAGCCAGGGAGTTACAGATGGTTAAGAGCATCATGTAGGTTCTAGGAATTTCACCCAGGTCTTCTAGAAGAGTAGCCAGTGCTCTTAATAACCACCGAGCCATCTCTCCAGTCCCAATAATCCCTCTTTGATTTCAGCAAATCTTTTTTTTAATATTTATTTATTTATTATGTATACAATATTCTGTCTGTGTGCATGTCTGCAGGCCAGAAGAGGGCACCAGACCTCTTTTACAGATGGTTGTGAGCCACCATGTGGTTGTCGGGAATTGAACTCAGGACCTTTGGAAGAGCAGGCAGTGCTCTTAACCGCTGAGCCATCTCTCCAGCCCCTCAGCAAATCTTAATAGATAGGAAAGAGTCTATAGACAGAGAGCTACCCAAGAAGCAGAAACTCAAGAGACGCTAGCTTTGCCAACTAAGTTACGAACTGAGAACATGAAACTTCTGGACAAGAAATAGATCACTTCATAGGATTATAGCTGGAAACTGAGGAGCCTAAATTACCTGTGAATCACTGATTTGAAACCAAAAAGATCTGTAATTAGTCTCTGAAGTCTGTCAAAGGTCCGCAGGTCAATGTAGAAAGTTTCAAGATTCCAATTCCCACCACACTCTGTACTCTCGGGCAATTCTTGGGATGATATAGTTATATAAAATTTGGATAATAAAGTGGAACTTGAATATTGAAAGGTTGTTCTGAAGATGAAGTATATCTAAATGGCTGAAGAAAGATTAAGGTCATTTTTGTCTACACTAAATTGCTTACCTTCCTTACAACTAGAACAGAGACATTGGTAGTGTCACATAGCATGAAACAGTTTGAATAAAATTATATGATGCAGTATTACCCCCCTCCTGCATGCCCTATGATTGGGTGATGCTAGAGATGGAACCCTGCCCCAGTGTTACATGTGGGAGGCAAGTGCTCTTTACTGGGCGAGCTATAACTTAATCTCTTAGTATTTGGCACACACTGAATGCATTATCTGAGGAGGCCAGAAGAGGGGATCATATCTCCTGGAATTAGAGTTACAGATTGTACTGGGAACTGAACTCTTAAATAGATCCTTTGCAAGAACAGCAGCAAGCACTCTTAACCATGAAGCCATCTCTTCAGTCCAATAGTTGGCTTCTTTTGTATTTAAAGGCCCATATTGTAGCCCAGGCTATGCTGGTACTCATTATGTACCCCTAGGCTGGCCTTGAAATCATGGTGATCCTCCTGCCTCTGCCTCCCTGAGTGCTGGGATTAGACTGGGCTTATGACATCTGAATATTCATCTTTATTGAATAAAATGTTTGTGATGCTCACATTTTTTCCAGGACCTTCATGCTGGGCAATGAACATTTTATTTTATTTTTTTAAATTAAAATGTCGTGTGTGTGTGTGTGTGTGTGTGTGTGTGTGTGTGTGTGTGTATACACACGCCCGTGCACATGGGGGTCAGGAGAGTGTGATGGATCCCTTGAAGCTCTCCAGCTTATAGGCAACCATGAGCCACCTAATGTGGGTGCTGGGACCTGAACTGGTCCCCTGGAAGATTAGTAAGTGCTCCTAACTGCCTAGCCACCCCTCCAGCCCTAGCTCTCAGTTGAGTTTGGTGGCACATGCCTATAATCTCAGGTTGAAGCAGGAGGATTGAGGGTTGTAGGCCAACCTGGGCTATATAATGAGTCTAAAAAAGAAAATTGCATAGTAAGTCTAAAAAAGAAAATTGATTCTTCTAGCATTCACTGAGGTACTGAGGGGCTTTTGATATGTTTCCTGAATGTAAAGTACTTGATAATTTTAGCTGGAGGAGAGCAGAAATGTTCAGAAACAAATGAAGATTATGCAGAAGAAGCAAGCCCAGATCGTGAAAGAGAAAGTTCACCTGCAGAGTGAACACAGCAAGGCCATCTTGGCAAGAAGCAAACTGGAGTCTCTTTGCAGGGAACTTCAGCGTCACAATAAGACCTTAAAGGTTAGTTTTTATTTATTTTTTTCTATTTTACAGAAATAATGTTCTCAGCTGATTTTACAAGAGGTCATCTTGTATCTATTTGAAATCTGTGCCTACCCAGAGATGAGATATGCCTTTCTGGTTTGCTTGGGCTGATGCTTCATATGAGACAATATAATGTGAGACTGATAGTTAACATTGTATGTTAAATGTGGGTTTCCTGTTCAAAAAAAAAAAAGGAATTCCCTCATTCCCTCATATTTTGGTCACAGGGAATAAGTAAACATTGCAACCCCCACTCTCTAGCTTCCTTTTTAAAAGGTTTTATTTATGTGTATGGTGTTTTGCCTGCATGTATATATATGTACCGTGTCCATGGCTAGTGCTGGAAGAGGACAAAAGAGGGTGTTGGATATGCTGTAACTGAAGTAAGTTACTGATAGTTATTAGCCACTATCTGCTGGGTGCTGGGAACTGAATGAACATGGTTCTCTGCAAAAGCAGCAGTGCTCTTAACCGCTGACCTATCTCTCCAGCCCACCCACACCCCTCTTGAAGCCATGGTTTAGGAAGCCCAGAGTTGCTGTAGAAAACTAAAGAAGTTGCCATGAAATGAGAAACTGGTAAATTTAGAATCAGTGTTTTCAGAAAGGAGCATTGCTGAGCACTAGGTGGATGTCAGGGCTGAACTGCCCAACATTCCGTGGCCATTCCCAGGTACTGAGTACTTTTGGCAGTTGCACGTAGATCTTGGCAGATTATACAGGAAGAGTGAGCAGATACCCAAAGATGACCAAAGATGCATGGAGGAAGAGAGAAAAAAGAGCCATGAAAAGGATCCGCCTCTTAACATTGTAGCTGGCCTGTCCTTACATACAACAGAGTGGGATTTTGAGCTGGAACTCTGATCAAACACCCAATCTCTTAACTACATCCCAGGGACCTAGATACAACAGCACTTAGGACATGGATTTTTCACCAGATAGGAATTAACATTTGCTTCCTTTTAAGATTTTATGGGGGGGGGCGGGTGTGCACACACACGCTCACAGTGAGAACCTGAATCTCTTGGAGTTATAGGTGGTTGTGAGCCACCTGATATGGATGCTGGGGACTGGACTTGTGTTCTGTATGAGAGCAGTAAGTGCTCTTAATCCCTGAGCCATCTCTTCAGTCTTACTTTTGATCTTTTATATTTATTTTACTTAAAAAATAGATTTATTTATGTGTATGAGATTTTTGCCTGCATGTATACCTGTGTACCAGTAGATAGCTGGTGGCTACAATCAGAAGCAGGCATCAGAAATGGGAATTACCCTGAACTGGAAGTTATGGATGGGTGCTGGGAATCAAACCAAGGTCCTCTTAACCACTGAGCTATCTCTCCAGCCCTGAACCTTTAAATAAGATACCTCTTAATGAGATGCCTGGGCTAACAGTGTACGCCTGTAATCATAGCTACTTAGAAGACTGAGGCCAGAAGTAATGCAAATTTAAGACCTGCTAGGCTACAGAACAAGTTCAATGGCATCCTGGGCAACTTAATGAGATCTTGTTTCAAAATGAAAAATAAAAATTGGACTGGGGATATATAGCCTACTCACTTGCCGAGTATGCTCAAAGCCCTTGTTTCAATCAATCCTTTTAACTTACTTCCACTACCCCCAAATTAAAAGTTAGGCATTTTTCCCTATAACTAGAGTTGTTTTAAATGTAGTAAAATTTACATTTGAAGGTAAGCTTTTTAAAATAAGTATACCATTGGTCTCTTGACCTCGTAAGAGAGGTGTGGCCTAGAAAGTAAACTGAAGGAGGGTTGTCTGCTCAGAGTCATCTAAGTTGATTTCTTGTGTGGTTATCAAGAAGCCTGTTCCAGTATACAGTCAATTGATATAACTGGGACTCTATATCTCATCACTCTGTATGTTTTTTTTTGCCTTGTTTTTTTCAAGACTAGATTTCTCTGTATAACAGTCCTGGCTGTCCTGGAACTTGCTCTGTAGACCAGGCTGGCCTCGAACTCAGAGAAAGTTTCTGATCCTAAGTAAGGAGGACAAATTGTACTTTAGAAGCAGTGTTTCAGGGCAGCCACAGCAGCTTTTCTTCCTCTCCACATGCTAGGCAAATACTTTTTTACCAGGCTGCATTTCTAACCTTTTTTATTTTTGGTGTGTGTGTCCATTTGTGTGTTGCGGGTAGTAGAGTAAGTTTGCATGTGGAATCCCTCCAGAGCTAGGAATACAGGCACAGGCTGCCATGCCCTACTTTTTATGTGGGTGCTGGAGATTTGGACTCAGTTCCTAGGCTTAGACAGTAGGCACTTTACCAACTAAACTATTTCCCCTACCCTCTCGTTTGAGACAGGGTCTCACTAAGTTGCCCAAAGTGTTCTTTAATTCACTCTTTAAACCCAGGCAGGCTTTGAACTTCTCAGCCTTGAGTAGCTGAGGTCACGGGCCTGGCAACAGCAGCTTCTTTGAGCATTTTGCTCATGGGTGTACTATTAACAAAAATTCCTTTGGGTATTAGGAGGAAAATATGCAGCAGGCAAGAGAGGAAGAAGAGCGACGTAAAGAAGCAACAGCACATTTCCAGATTACTCTAAATGAAATACAAGCCCAGCTAGAACAGCATGACATACATAATGCCAAACTCCGACAGGAGAACATCGAACTGGGAGAGAAGCTGAAGAAGCTCATTGAGCAGTATGCAGTGAGGGAAGAGGTAATACCATTCAATTGCTTTCCACAGTTTCTCCCTATTAGTAGTAACTTCTGTTTACTTTAAAAGTATTGTTACAGGATGTTTTAGAATTCTTCGTGTATAGTATAAGGTAGGTTTATTGACTAGGGAAAGGATCAAACCATTGCATAACCAGAAAGATTAAATAAGAGTCTATCTGCATGAATAGGCAAGATAATTTCCAGTTTTGTTAAATACTAGTTCCATGAAGTACTAGAAGATGGCAATTTTTACATTATTTTCTTATCTGGACTAATAATGAATGAATGCTTGGCCCCGGAATACCCTGCATCTCAAGACATTTGTGATAATCTATAGCCATTTCATTACATCTGTGTCTCAGGTTTATGTTTGTTTTTGATTTTTTTTCCTGTTGATATTGGGTTTTGCTTATTGCCCTGGGTGACTTCCAATTCATGGGCTTAAATATATTTTCCTGTTTGAACAGCCCAGCCCAGCCTTTACATCTTTTTGGGCTGGAGAGATGGCTCAGAGGTTAGGAGCACTGACTGCTCTTCCAAAGGTCCTGAGTTCAATTCCCAGCAACCACATGGGGACTCCCAACCATTTGTAGTGAGATCTGGGACCCTCTTCTGGTGCTGCAAGCAGAATACTGTACACATAACAAAATAAATATTTTTTTTAAAAAAAGTATTCTTTTTTTTAAATGGGGTTTCTCTGTGTAACAGCCCTATCTGTTCTTGAACTAGCTCTGTAAACCAGGCTGGCCTCAAACTCAGAGATCTACCTGCCTCTGTCTCCTGAGCGATGGAATTAAAGTCATTTGCCAACATTGCCTAGCAACAACTAATTTTTTAGGTTTTTGCACTGCTAGTGGTCAAATCCAAGGCCTTGGCCATACTATATGAACTTTCTGTTCCTAACATAGCTACCCTCAACCCTATTTTTTTTTTTTTTGGTTTTTCGAGACAGGGTTTCTCTATCTTTGGTGCCTGTTCTGGAACTAGCTCTTGTAGACCAGGCTGGCCTTGAACTCCCAGAGATCCGCCTGCCTCTGCCTCCCGAGTGCTGGGATTAAAGGCGTGCGCCACCACCGCCCGGCCCTATTTTTTATTTATCTTTTAGTGTTGGGATCAATCCCATGAACCTTATGTATGCTAAGTATGTTTCATCATTGAACTTATATCCCGGACCTCTGTCTTTTCTGTTTTTGTTTATTTTATCAACAGTGTATTTTTAATTTTTCATGTTTGTCTTTGTCTGGATGTGGGTTTGTGCACATGAGTGCAGTGGCCACAGAGGCCAGAAGAGGACTGGATCCCTTGGAACTGAAATTATAGGTGACAGTGAGCTGCCCAAGGTGGGTGCTGGTAACCAAAATCGGAGCAGCACTTGTATTTGCTGAGTCATGTCTCTACTTCCTATGGCTTGAACTCATTAAAAATTTGTAAAAATTATTTTATGTGTATGGGTGTTCTGTTTGCACATGTATCTGTGCACATAAGGAGGCCAGAAGGTGTCAGATCCCCTGAAACTGGAGTTATACTTGGTTGTAAGCATCCATGTGAGTGCTGGGATTCAAACTCAAATTCTCTGGAAGAACAGCCTTAAAATTCTTAAATTCATAGATATTTCAGTATATAACTCAGAAAGCTCTTTTTGGCCATATAATTTTCACATCTAAAAGGTGAAGTTAGCATCTGCTTGTCTTTTTAAAATTTATATGTGTGTGGGTGCCCCAAGAGGTCATATAAGAGGGTATTGGATTCCCTGGAGTTGGGATTACAGGCATTTGTGAGCTGCCCATCATATGTACTGGAAAACAAACTTTGGTCCTCTGCAAGAGCAACAACAAGAAGAGCAGCAAGAACGCTTAAGCATTCCTACTTTCCTGTTATTAAAAAATCTGAATTAAAATCTAAATAAAGTTTGTCTACTTCACTAGATTATGTCTCATCTCCAAAATACAGATTTCCTTGGTCTGTTTTTATTATTGAAGAGCTTATTAAATAAAGTTTTGTGGGTTTGTTGTCATTCAGGCTAAGATTTACTATTAAATTATTAAAGCCCTAATTTTCTTTTTGGTTTCCTCTGTAATCCTGGCTGTCCTGGAGCTTGCTATGTAGACCAGGCTGACCTCAAATTCACAAAGATCCTCCCACTGGGATTAAAGAAGTGTGCCTCCAGGCCAAATCCTAATTTTCTTACAACGATTCTTTTATTATTTAATGGACTGTTTCTTCATTAGAGAATCATGTGTTCAAATTCATAAATGAAAATATAATTTGCCATTTTAATACCTAGGCTATCTTATCACCAACTAGTATTCTTCCTGTCACATATCATACTATAACTGGAAGAATCCCAATTCTGTAGTTCCAAGGTGGCATGTTTTGATGTCTGGTAAGGCACCAAACACCTTTGGTTTGACTCAGCAAACAGATTCTGGCACTGAGATTTAGCAGGACAGAAACTTACCTAATTGATAAATTTGCCTTCGTTTGGCTTTGACTTATGCTACCTTCAATTGAGGAATTTAGCAAAATTTAATGGGTAGGGAAAAAAGGAATGGGCATAAAAGGTGTGTGTATGTGTGTGTCTTGATGTTTACTTTCTCAGTACACAGCAGAAACAAGAATTTCAAAGCTTGTAGTGGTGGTGCATAGCTCCAACAGTGCAATGTTCTTGCAGATGGTGTCAAACATTGTTACAGGTGTAGGGATGGAAGACCTAGATTATTAGCTATGTGAGTTTTACAGGAAAGCAGGGCAAGCAGTGTTTTAACATCTTATATTTCCTCCCCATTGTGTTCCTCCCTTCATGAAGTGATGAAAGGAATTCTTTTTTCATAGCACATTGATAAAGTATTCAAACACAAGGAATTGCAACAACAGCTTGTGGATGCGAAACTTCAGCAAACGACACAGCTGATAAAAGGAGCTGATGAAAAACATCAAAGAGAAAGAGAGTTTGTAAGTTCTGTTCCTTAAGAAAAAAAAAAAGAAAAAAGGTATTGCCAGTATTTTAACTAAAAAGTTTAATGTCACCCAAGGGGTATGATAGTTAATTATTAGTTCTAGAAAGCTTTTGGCTACTTCTGTTCAGAGATCCACTTGCCTGTCTCCCGAGTGTCTCCCACTACCAGGTGGTGGCGGCGCATGCCTTTAATCCCAGCACTCAGAAGACAGAGGCTGGTAGATCTCTGGGAGTTCGAGGTCAGCCTAGTTCTAGGACAGCAGAGCTACCCAGAGAAACCCCGTCTTAAAAAGCAAAAAAAAAAAAAAAAAGAAAAGTAAAATAGAAGAGTAAAGATAGGCACCACCATACCTTGCCCTAGTTTTGTTTTTGAATAAGTTGACACTATGATCGGTGTAACTATTTTGTGAGTTTATTGAGTTGGGGTCTTATTGTAGCCTTGGCAGAAGATGAACTTGAACTCATGAACCACCACACCCAATTTATGATTTGCGAAGGACTGGACCCCAGGGCTTGTGGGCATACAGCAAGCGCTCTATCAACTGAAGCATCATCCTTCACCAATTTTTTCTTGTTTTTTTATGCTTAGAATCCTGTTATCTAATTTCATTTCTTTTGTCCATAGCCTTCTACCCAGTCTTATCTTGCTCCTCAGGTAGCTCAGCCATTTGAGGTACTTAGCAGTGTTTTCTGCTAATATTAGACATGTGATTATTTTTACCTAAAATACCACCCTTAAACCTCAATTTTGTAAATTGTTTTAGGCCTCCACAGTACCTTTACCTTTTTCTAATTAAGAAGTAAAAGATGCCTTTCTGCTTCTGTAAGCATTGCTAAGAAGCATAATAATGGAAGGTGAATGTAGACAGCAACTGAAAGAAGGTATTCCATTTTTAGGGTAGTCATTCTTGCTAAAACAGTGAACAAAAGGGTGCGGTAGAATTGGATCATTATTCGATATATTCACAGTTGTAATTGCTATTAGTACTTTTGCAAGAATGTTTCTGTTTTCTAGTTACTAAAAGAAGCAACAGAATCCAGGCACAAATATGAACAAATGAAACAGCAAGAAGTACAACTAAAACAGCAGGTAACTTGATAGTTCGGGATAGCGAATTTTAAGAAAAATCGTTCATTTAATAAGTACGTTCAATCTTCTCTAAGGTGGTGTTGCTTGTTCCCAGAAAAGGAAGCAATCACACATATCTCTTGGAAGTCTCTTTTCATTTAGGGTGTCCTTCCAAATTTGAGTGTCCCTGGTTTATAGTACTAAAAGACTTATGTCTTAGTAGGCTCCCACTCCCAAATCTCAGCCCAGCTGGGATAAAATTAGTTATCCATCTTTCATGGCTTTCATTTGTGTTACCTCATTTCTCACTAAAGGAAACTGACAAACTTCCAGATCCAAGGAATGTTATAAAATTTCACATACCTTAACATATTTGTAATTTTGTGCCAATGTAGCACCTAAACGGTTTTAAAACTACTTGTAACCATAGTTTCACTTGTAGGTAGTTTTGTGAAATGCTTTTAGCCAAGGCTTTCTCTCCTTTTCACTCCAAATTCTGCAGTTGTTACAATGTTTGGAATAATAGTGTGTACTATTCATCTCTTTTCTTGAGGAGATGGTCCGAGAGACTTCTGTCTTAATAGGTGAAATTAGGTGTTTGTAATTATAATCTACCCCTTTTTAGCTTAAATATTATTGAAATAATTATCAAGTTTAGTGCAAGGCTCTTTAAGTAATACTCTAGATACATTAAGCCTGGCTTCAGTCTTTTTTTTCGACACAGGGTTTCTCTGACAGCCCTGGCCATCCTGGAACTAGCTCTTGTAAACCAGGCTGACCTTGAACTCACAGAGATCCACCTGTCTCTGCTGGGATTAAAGGTTTGCGCCACGACCCCTGGTTGGCATCAATCTTTATAATCACCTCTTCTGGATACTATTTTTTTAAAAGATTTATTTATTTATTATGTATACAGTGTTCTGTCTGCACGCATGCCTGCAGGTCAGAAGAGGGCACCAGATCATTATAGGTGAGCCACCATGTGATTGCTGGGAATTGAACTCAGGACCTCTGGAAGAGCAGTCAGTGCTCTTAACCTCTGAGCCATCTCTCCAGCCCCTGGATACTATTTTTTGAGTCGGGTAGGACATTCTACAGTATTGGTGAGATAAACTTCTTACAAAGCGATTCTAACTTTTTTGAGACAGGGTTTCTCTGTGTAACAGCTCTGGCTGTCATGGAACGTGCTCTGTATACCAGGCTGGTCTCAAATTTAGAGATCTGCCTGCCTCTCAAATACTGGGATTAAAGGCATACATCACCACAACCTCGCAAAGCTAGCCTAATTTAAGAGTACAAATTTTAGTATTTTTCACCATAAGTTATGATCATGCCAGAAGACTGGTAGGAAATTCAAATCCCATTACTGCTCAGTCCTATACATTCAGTTGTACGAATGGAGATGAGTATCAATGTGGATGAAGTATAAAGTCCATGTTTCTGCAGATGTTGATAAACTGACATTTGCCATCTGTTTCCTTTGCTGTCACTATCCTTTTCAAGAGTTGATCTCATTTGCTTTTACTGTGGTATTTCATAGTAGTTGCCTTGGCCCACTGTTTTGTGATTAGCCATGTAAGTCCAAGTGTAATGATAGTTACTGTCTATTCACTACTGTGGGCCAACATTGAACTCTCTAAAGAGACAGCCGTGGTATAGGTGCGGTGGTGGCGCATACCTTTAATCCCAGCACTTGGGAGTACGAGGCCAGCCTGGTCTACAGAGCTAATTTCAGGACAGCTAGGGCTGTAACACAGAGAAATCCTGTGTCAAAGAGAGAGACAGACAGACTTCCTTTGGATGTCCCATCATCAAAACAGGCTTCACTGAAACTACTGGAGAGTCTAATTCCAAGTGCATTAAGAGCTCTCGACTCAACTTGAGCACCACTGTTGTCCCTGACTTCAGGCTGTCAGCCTCGGATGTTAGAGTGGAACACACCTCCACTAGCTTATGCTCAATCCTCAGCATTCTATTGTAGTTCTATTCTTTTCCTACACTTTTATGCAGATACTCCTTGTTGCCTGTCTCCTAGTGATCACTTCTAGCCTGATGAACTTGTCTGCTTCTGCTTCCCCCACAGCAGCACCTGCTCCAAGTGCTTCCCATATGGCACACCCACCTATAACTGTGGGCGGGCTGCCTTCCATCTCAACTTCCCACATTTTGTTAGATGTTATGTATAATATTCCTCTCATCACTGGTTACATGGTCTTCTGGTGTCTAAGATTAAGAATCTTATGTGCATGAATGCTTTGCCTGTGTGTGTGTGTCTGTGTGTGTGTGTGTGTGTAATATATGTATATGCCTGGTGCAGAGTCAGAAGAGGGAATTACAAATAGTTGTGAACTTCCATGCAGGCACTGGGAACCAAAGCCCACGTTCTCTGCAAGAACACCAAGCACTCTTTCCATCCTGCCCCTCTACTTCTGTGTATTTTGTGATCTCAGGAGAGGGAAAGAATCTCTTCCTCTGGACTTGTTTCCTCGTAATAACATTAGACTATCTCTGAACGGTTCCCTCCTGGATCTTAAAGCTTTTCCTTTCTTTTGACATGATGTCCTTTCCTCTCTGGAGGTTTTCTCTAAAGTAGAATAAAGGGTGGGCTAGCTTATGTTTGATATATGTGTGTGTGCGTGCGTGTTTGATACATACATACATCAAATTCCTTGAACTTAAAAGAAAAAAATGGTGCTTCTTACTTTTTATTCTTTCCTTAATCATCTCACTATCCCCAACCACCATTCTGCCTGCACTCAGGAGATATTCTTGATACTAAGCAGAAACATGGTCTTTTAATTTTCACAGGTTGGGGCATAGCTCAAAGCTTTGCAGGGGCATGAAATTTCTGACTGCCACACCCAATGCATTTTAATTAATGGGGTTATAATTAATGCTAATATTCCTGCAATTTAAATATATGTTAACAGCAATAACCTCCCAAGTACTAGATCTCTGTGAGTTATTAGAATTTCAGGCATCTGGCTGCTATCCAGAGATTGGGTGTTTGCTTTTCTGTCATTTATAACAAATACCATCATGTAGTTAAGTTTATGAGTTTGAATTGTTTACCTGGAACTCAGAATAACCAACTTTTTATTTTGTTCTGTAGCTTTCTCTTTATATGGATAAATTTGAAGAATTCCAGACTACTATGGCAAAAAGCAATGAACTTTTTACAACCTTCAGGCAGGAAATGGAAAAGGTATTTGTATGTTTTTTAGTAGACTGAAATATAAAAGGGATATTTTGAGCTCTTTATTACTACTTAGAGTGAGTTTATATTGTTATGATACTGTCTTTTATATATTAGTGTGCCCCCAACCAAGTAGCTTCTTTATACTTCTAAGATTTTTCCTTAATTGCAATAAATTCCTTTTTTGTTGTTTTGTAACAGCCTGGCTCTCCTGCAATTTGCCCCATAGACCAGGATGGCCCTTGAGATCTGCCTGCCTCTGCTTCCCAAGGGCTAGAATTAAAGACTTGCAACACCAATTCTCAGCTAACTTAGAAATAGGCCTTTTCAGTCACGTAACAGGCTTACTTCTCATCATTTCAAAAAAAATTCCTTTTCTTGGCTACATTAAAAGTAGACTGGCATAATTTGACATGACCTTGAATATTTAATGTTCTATAAGCTTAGCCTGCCACACCTCATGTTTTACGTTTTAGGAGTTTCACTATGATTTCCAGGTTGGTCTTAACCTCTAAAATTCAAGCAGCTCTCTTGCTTCAATCCTCAGCCTCTCAGCCCAGGTAACTGCCGCTATAGGTACATGTCACATCAGACTATAATGGAGAATTTTTAAAAGTAGTTTTCAAGGGGCTGGAGAGATGGCTCAGAGGGTAAGGGCACTACCTGCTCTTCCAGAGGTCCCAAGTTCGATTCCCAGCAACCACATGGTGGCTCACAACCATCTGTAATGAGACCTGGTGCCTTCCTTACCAGCAGTACATTGTATGCTTAATAAATAAACCTTTAAAAAAAAGTAGTGTTCAAAAGTATTATAATAGTGTAAGCCATGACTATTATTCCACTGAATTGGAGTGTTGGTTGATGTTCCAGAGCACCCATGTTGGGTGGTTCACAACCATCTGTAACTCCAAGTGATCTCATGCTATCCCTAGTCTGGGCATTTTGCTCATGTGCATATACCCCCCAGACACATGAATACACACATGGCTCCGTGGTTAATAGTGGCTGTCATTCCTTCCTCTAGAGGTCTCAGTTTCAGCACCCAAGTCAAGTCAATCATAAATTACCAGTAACTCCAGCTCCTGGAAATCCAATGCCCTCTTCTGGTCTGCATGGGCACCCACAGCCACGTGCACATAGATATACACATAAATAAAATATAAATCTTTAAAAAGCGTGATTGTAAACAAGTTGTTCTGACTTTGTGCCCCCCCATTTACTGTGTGTATACATGCATGTGCAATGGCACATGTGTGAGGGTCAGATGACTAATTCTGTGAGTAGGGTCTCTCCTTACACCTTGTAGGTTCCAGGGATCAAACAGGTCCATCAGGCTTGGTGGAAAACACCTTCTTACTGACCCCCCCCTTTTTGGGGGGGGGGTTCGAGACAGGGTTTCTCTGTGGTTTTTGGAGCCTGTCCTGGAACTAGCTCTTGTAGACCAGGCTGGTCTCGAACTCACAGAGATCCGCCTGCCTCTGCCTCCCGAGTGCTGGAATTAAAGGTGTGCGCCACCACCACCCGGCCTTACTGGCCCTTTAAAGGAAATAAAAAGACCCACCAAATTCAGATAGTGTTTGGCTCATTAAACATGTGCTCAATTACCAGGAGCTAAATAGTACTCAGATTACCACCTTCAAGTATTTTTAGACCTAGTAATCTGGAGACTTCCATGAGCAGGTGATTTGTTCTGCCTACCAGTCCTTTGAGTTGATAATCCGATCGAGGGGTAACTGTTAGGCACAGTAAGTATTAGCTGAATTCCAGCACATGCTCACTGTTGAAGTGGAACACAGTTCAAGACAGGGATTCCCCAAATTTGCTATCCTTGTGGAAGATCCTGTGGGATGGAAAAATACAGATCACTGTGGGTCAGTACTCAACTCAGTTCTTCCATGAGCTCTTTCCACCGCCTTTGTCCTAATTTGTGTTAGCTACCAGTAGAAAGCATCTGGTCTGCCTTGTTCTGTTTCCCTTAATAGCACCTGGGGTTCAGTGTCCTGACTTGAAAATCACAGCTGGAATACTGAGAATGTGACCAATTGATAAGCATAGATAAATCTCATTCTCAACTTTTCTTGTAGCAGAGGTTTAAGAATTTTCCTTTGCCCAGGCATATTACATGCCTTTAGTCCTAACAATCCAGAGGCATGGGCAATCAGAGGCCAGCCCAGTCAATGCTACACACACACACACCCCAAAAATGTTCCTATGATTCTTTTGGGTCTACTTTATTATCTTTAGCAAAATTAAGGTAGATAATTAAATTCCACCGCTTCTAATTCACAAATGATTTATGCTTGTAACAGCTCAGTGAGGCAAATGCAGAGAGGGAAGCAACGTTAAAGCTTTTTTGATAGGACAGCTGGTAGGATAAGATATGGAATTAAATTAAGCCCTGGAGAGATGGCTCAGTTAAGCTTACTTGTTCTTGCCGAGTACGCGAGTTCAGTTCCCAGCATCCACACGGTGGCTCACAACCATCCATAATTCCAGTTCTAGATCTGATGCCTTCTTTTCACCTCCTAAGAGCACCAGGCACATGTTGTGCAGACATACATGCAGTCTAAACATTCACATATATGAGGAAAATTTAACTGGTAATTTAGGATTTTAAAGTTGAATTATGTTCATTCACAGATGACAAAGAAGATTAAAAAACTGGAAAAAGAGACAATGGTATGGCGCACCAAATGGGAAAACAATAATAAAGCACTTCTCCAGATGGCTGAAGAGGTAAGATGGTTCCCTGAGATTAGGATGTGTCATTAGTTATGCGCAGGGTACGATAGTTACTGAGTAGACTGATGATGCCTTTCCTCGTAGATGGATAGTGGTAGAGTCCTGAATGAAGGATCAAACATTTTATTTATTGCCCAGTTAATACAAGCATCCTCTTGAGACAATGTTTTCTCAAACTTGAATTTATAATAATTCTTGCTATAAAATGCCAGGATTACTAGGTCCCAGCCAAAGGTGCTGACTGTCTAAGTTAGGTCAAGCACTTGCAAGAATGGCTAAAAGATGGCTGGGCTTGGCGGTGTACACCTTACCAGCACTCAGGAGTCAGAGACAGGAGGATTTCTATGAGTTTGAGGCCAGTCAAAGCTACATGGTGAGACCTTATCTTGAGAGACTAAAACAAAATCAACTGAGAGGTGCTGATGCATTGTCCAGGCCTAGGGAAGCTCATTCGTTGGACTTCCTAGTATGACTACCAGCAAACACCCCGAATGCCTTTCTACCTGAAAAAAAAAAAACAAAAAAACTTTTTGGCCATGTTCCAAGTGAAAATGTATTGCTTGCAGTCACTACACATCTTCATAAATTTGACAGGACTGCACAATGTTAGAGCACATGTGTATAAGAATCTTATTCTGCCAGGCAGTGATGACACCTGCCTTTAATCCCAACACTTGGGAGGCAGGTACATCAAAGCCAGCCTGGTCTACAGAGTCAGTTTTAGGACAGCCAGGGCTAAAGAGAAATCATGTGTGAAAAACAAATTATTGTTCTAAGTAATCTTAGTTTTTGCAAGTCTTTGACAACTACCTTCAATTTCTTTAAAGTTAATGTGAAATTTCAAGTTAAGGGGATTTCATCTACTTTTAAGAACAAAATTTAAAGCCATTATTATTAAATAGCACAGACCATCAAGGCATGAAAGTATTAGGTTTCTAAACTAGACATATATAATAAACAATACCAGGTAGTTAACAATGTGGTTCAGTGCAGTTATTTTTGTTTAAAAACAACACCTAATTTATATTTAATGAGGTTATGGAACTGTCGACTGGTTTTGTTTTTCATTTGACAAAAAAAAAAACCAACAGAAAACTGTCCATGATAAAGAGTACAAGGCCTTTCAAATAAAACTGGAACGGTTAGAGAAGCTGTGCAGGGCTCTTCAGACAGAGAGAAATGAGCTCAACGAGAAGGTCGAAGTCCTGAAAGAGCAGGTCTCTATCAAAGCAGCAGATGGGGACTTGGTGGCACCTGCGATGCAGCCCTGTGCTGCCCTGGATTCATTCAAGGAGATGAACACTTCAAGAGCCCTGGGAATGCACTTGGAGGCTAGGGGCAAAGCCAAGTCAGTGAGTGAGAGAAGAAGTGCTGCACAAAAGCCCTCATCTTCAGGTTCTGCGCAAGGCATTGAGTCAGTTGACTAGGGTGAAATGTGATCACTGTATTGAGAGATATATTTTGTGTATAACTTCCTCTGTTAGTAGTAACTATTGGTTTTGTGGTGAAAATTTTCTTACTTTTTCTACCATATCTGTATTTTCTTAGAACTACTGGACTTATGTGGTACAGGAGGCTGCTTAGCAGTTTGAAATAGTTTTAATCTATAAATTTCCTTCATCTATGTTGCACATCTGCCTCATTTTCCCCTTTGTTGGAGTGCATGTCTTCATTGATTTGTCCTTTCTCTTTCTGCTCCTTGCACCTAATTTTCCCAACTAAAATCATTCAAGACAGGGCCATTAAAGGAACTATGTCCTCATGATGGTTCCTTGATGTGAAAACAATTTTAATTTAAGCATTTTGGCCCCTTAATACAAAGGAAAATACCAAGGTGATTACCTTTGCTTAATAGCCTATTTAAAGGGGGAACATGTCAGAAACAAGCTTAGCATTTTTCATTCAAATTAGCTTTTCTTGATTTACTTGACAAATTGAGATGACCGTATAACCTTGAAGTTCTGACAGAACATATATAAAGATGTTACTTGTGAACAAAATAGGCAAAGTATTGGATGAACAGACAATGTTTCTGTGACTAAAAGTAGTCATATTGTGCTGATTTGGGGATAGAATGTACCACATGTGAAATTAATTTGGACTACCTGATGATTACTGTAGTAGATGGTGGTGGTTTATGTACATGTTCTCCATTTCCCACAAAAAGCTTATTCTTTGAAAACTGCTCACTGCTGTGAGTTTAGAACAAGAATAAATTCATATGAAGCTTATATTAGGCAAAAGCTTTTTTTCAGTCCCTACAAGTTCCATCAGCAAAACACTTTGTTTCCAGAAAGAAATTTCCAAAGTAAAAAACACTGGAACCAGTATTTTTTTTTTAATCTTGGGAAGACTTGGCAGATTGTTTACATAGTGAAAACAACCTATAACTTATATAAGCTTTCTGGTTCATTTCTCTTTTCTTAGATGTTGTCACTTAAAACAAACCAGTATTAATGTTTCTATACTTTAAATTGGGGAATTTCAAAACTAAGCAAAACATGTCTTAGTTTTTTTGTTTTCTCAGTGTTGAATGTGGCTCAGCCATGCAAACTGCTAGAAGGTCTTCATTATTTTGGTATAATTTGGAATGAAATGCTTTATAAAGTAATTTTTCAAAAGGTTCAAATAATACCACATTCTATTCAGCAAATCTTTCAGACTGACTGACACTTGTTGAATTGCTTACTGGACTGAATAAACTCCATTTCTCTTTGCTAAAAGTTTTATCTGTAAACTCCTGTGACATTCATGGTCTAAACTGGATTCAAAGAATTGAAAACTGTCCAAAAATAGAAAACAGTCGCGGGAATAGAGTATCTTTTTAAAACTATTCCGCATTGGTCATGTAATCAAGGGGTCAGACAGTAGAAGAAATTCATAAAGTTGATTATTACTGTCAGTTCATCAGAAACAAGAACAATCCCTTCCAATAGCCTCATAAATACTCTCCCACCTTCAGCTACTAGAAATACTGGATCATTTCCCCTGAAGGTATATCAGAAATATAATCTACTTTGAAATTATTACTAATGATCACATTTCATAAGTCTGCTGGATACACAGCTCTTAACATTTTATTAAGCCACGTGTGTAGCCTGCCACATTTTTTTGTGGTGCTTGTCCTGTGTGGAAGACTGTAAATCTTGAACCTGTTGCATATTTTCAAGGGCTTTATAAAGCAATGTGACTAACTGTCCTGGCCTGCTGCTTTTGGCTTACGTGCATTTTTAGCTACATGTTTGGAGGACAGTGATTCTGTCTGGTAATGTATTCAGAATCTTTCCTCCTCCCATTACTCTGTGAATAAAAACAAATGGGACCTCAGAGAAGGATACCCTCCCCTAAAGTGATCACCTCACCAGCCCAGTGTTGTGGCTTTGTAGCACGCCCTGTATCTACCATAATCTAGAACACTGTAATGCTACGAGGCTGGCCCAGAAAAGGTTTAAATGTTGAATTCACTTACTGCATTTGGTGCACTACCATGCAATCTTGATGTATATTTATAGTGTCAATAGACCCCAAAATGTAGCAAAAACTTGGGTCTTGGATATCAGGCCATTTCATCCTCAGACTTGTAGAAGTACATTTCCTGGTCTTGAGACCAGTATTTTTTAGTTATGTATGCAACTGCCTTTATTACACACCTGGTTATTACAATTCAATTCTCAGGTGTTGCAGAAAAATCTACCTCTTTCAGACTGTAGATGGAAATAACTGTGAAAAAATGATGCAGATATCTTCTAGTTTGTGCTAAACACACTGCTTTATTTTTACAGCCCACGTCATTCATGAGGATATGAATTGTTAAGAGGCAGTCTTGTTTTGCTTTTCAAATACATTTTGTAGAGATTTTTCACTAACGTGAATCTGATTTTATCTACTCGATTCTGTATAGATTAAGTAAATATGTATGATGAATTTAACAGCTTTCGTGTATTCTTTGGTTGCCCATGTGGCCTTAATTGCGTACAAATCCAAAGGAACAATTTTACCTATTTCTCCTGGAGAAAGGAGATATGTATGGGAGCGTGCACATACATCCACCCATTCCCAGCTTCTAAAAGAACAAAGCAAACTTTATTTTAAAACTTTATTTCTGCAAAGCCAATCAAGAGTGTTGAAAGGAAAGTGTAAAAGGTATCTTGCATATTTGGGAACTGCAGCAAGCACTTAAAAGTTTGCGAAAATGAGGACTTAAAACAATTGAATCAAAGGCAATACCCAGCAACATGTATTTTAAAACAATAATGATGTCCTTTCTTAAGCAACATTCCTTTTTTTCCCCCTAACAGCTACAATATGATACAATACGCAAAAGCTCACTTGAAAGTGCTAGAATGAGAGGGTAAAGAACGCCATAAGCCATCCCACTTACATTTCCTACTATACAATGCCTTTTTGGCGCAATACATTCAATAGAAACACCTCATACTTTGGGTTTAAGATCCTTGTCCCTCCAGTTCCGATGTAGTGACATCTGACTCTTCATCATTGTAAATATTTTCAGCCTGGAGATAACCAAATAAATTCACAGGTAAAAACAGAATTTATATCTGTGAATATACATTTTAAAATTTACTGTCAATTTGCTTTAGTGTTCAGTACCCTTTAAGTTATTTGCCAATATATAAGTTCCCTAGACATACTTAGTCACCCACATACTTACTATTTAATCACTGTTAAGAAAAGGCATTTTCTAAAATTTTTTCAAGCATCACTTGGAATGGTTAACTCAGAAAGTCAGATATTTAGTGTTCCTCATTAGAAAACTCAGCATCTTTGAACACCTTAACATTTTCCTCCCATATTCTTCTTGTGACTGCACTGATGATACCAGAGACCAGAACAATCAATGTCAAGGCTCCCGCTGACAGTTCACGACAAATGTGAAGCAGATGTTGTGCATGTTTACTTATATGAATGTGTGGATAAAATGGTATTGAGCTACTAAACCTTACTATGTTGTTAAAATGGAAAAGGTTTAGGAATTTTAACTATTACTACTCTGTATACACATGTGAATGTGTGGTGGTAAGAAGACTTTGTGGAGTTGGTTCTCTCCTTCCACTTTTACTTGAGGCAATGATATTATTAGGTCATATGGTTTGGGAAGGAAGCGCTTTACCCCCTGAGCCATTTTCCAGGCTCAGAAAAAGTTTCTTTAAACTGTTCCCATACTATACCTAAACAATAAAAGATTTCTATTACATTCTATCACCAGCGAAACAGTTTTACAAGAGTTATGAAAAAAATATTTCAACTCACCATCTGCCATATCTGCATGATGTTATCTTCAGACACTGAGCAAATGACCCAAGGTTCATTGGGGTTCCAGCTGAAGTCTGAAATCTTGGCAGTGTGTCCTCCATGAATAAACTTAATAAAAAAAACCCACGAAAGTCTTGATTTCATATCCTTTCCTATTGTAAAACTTTCAAGACTTTAAAATAGTTTCTAGAAGCCTTCTTAGGCTGCCCCACAATTTAGAGTT